ATATTAGTGACTGAACGCCGAGAACCACACGTTTCGCACTGAAGGAAAAACAGACGCGTCTCCTTCTGCAGGATTGTGTCCGGCGATCGGCACGTCTGACACGCGACGTATTCCTCTGGTTATCACATCAAACAAAACATATATTTAGTAAAACATTTCACACCATATATTCATCTGTTTTAATACTAACTAATATATCTTCGGAGAACGCTTTCGATTTGCTTTTGTTGGAAACGTCCCTTAATTATGAGTTGATTGGCGGCGTCGACGGAACCACTTGTGCCCAACTCTGTCAGAAGGAAGGCCTGCATGTGCTTAGGCTGACGATGAAGGCTATAATCAAATAAAAAACAATTGATTGAAAGGTTGTGTATTCAAAACTTTTGTCAATACATACGAGCGGCAGATCTCCAAGAAGTTGGCGAACGACGACTTCTTAGTGCCCACCCGTAAGACCTGCGGCGGTCTCATAACGAACTTCTTCTTAACGCCGGCGTCTATTTCCGGATTCTTCTCTTTGATTATATTGAACACAATTTCCAACAATTCATCGTAAGTGTAGTCGCGATCCGATTCTAACCATTTATTAGTCGACACACTTCCCGATACCGACGAAGCGCTAATCGCCTGTCCGTCCGCGTCGTCGGCGCCGTCCGGACCGCCGACAACGTCAGTCTCTTCGGCGCCTTCGTTGGCCGCGCCGTCGGTCGAGAAGTTAACCTTCTTTTTCTTCTTCTTCTTCCGCGTGAAGTCGAAGTCGAGGTCGTCCTCATCGGCGTTGTCCGCCTCTACGTCCGCGTCCGTCGGACTCAATGTTTTGCCATTTTCTGACAGATTTTCCTTATCCACAGGCAATGAGTTCTCCATCTCTTCAAAGTTATACGTCTTTTTATTCTTCTTCTTCTTCTTGAGTCCCGTAAAGTCACTCAAATCTGTAGCCGACTCGCCCTCCATCTGATCTTCTTTGGTGTCGTCCTTCCTGTCGGCGCTCTCTTCGTTGCCTTCGAGTAAACTCATGTCAAAGGGTTTCCTCGTCTTCTTCTTCTTCTTCATATTGGGATCGAAAATCTGCGATAAATACAAAAACATACCATTAATTCACATCCAATCGACACAAACACAGACAACACCGCCGATGACCACAACGGCTGCCAACCAATCACTTACCGAGTCTTCGTCGGCCATCGTTGCGGTCAATAAGTGATCGATTGGTAATTAAACTCAAGAAACAAAGTGTGACTAAAACTAATAAAAAGTGATTCAATTCAAAGTGGATTTAAATTGTGATTAAATTGTATTTGAATTGCTTTTGAGTGTAAAGTGGAGTAAAAGTGGAGTCAATGTGTGATCAATGCCTACAATAATGGATGACATCATTGGCTGTGTTTTTGTGCCATTCATTCAACACATACTGCAAACTGAATGCCATTCAAATGCATTCAAATGCACAATCAGTGTCGCCATCTGTCCTCCCAATGCTTGTGTGGTATGTGCGCCAATAGAGTGACCACATCAATACTAAAATCAATATTTGAATAAACAATGTATTTATTACATTCCGAATAAAACTTACAAATATTTAAAAATATGCAATTTTAAATAATATTAAAATATTTGGGTCATAATTACAGTCATAGCTCTTACGCTACAATTTGTTTACTCTTATCCCTACATAGATATGAAACTTGAAATAATGAGCGCCAATGTGTGTCATGTGGTGACACTAGTAATGATTGCTGGGTTTGTGCGGTTGAGTCGCTCGACACCAGACGTCACTCTAGTCTCCACTGAATGATGCAATGATTGCCACGATTTCGACATCTCTTTTACATTCAATGTATTTTAATTTCCACAAAATGTTCATTTAATTTCAATAGTAGTCTAATCTTCTGACATGTTATACGAATTGTATGCAAAATTTGATGTAAAACTAGTCAATTCTGATGTAATATACTGTTGGGATGGCATAATATAGTACTATTAATAGCAAAGTGCTAAACAGTTAAGTTAATACAGTACAGTAGCAATAAGTTTGATGGCTTTCTGAATTGACCATGGGCAGTCTCATTTGGGTAATAGGCAAACTTTTACCATTACAAGTTAATTTTAATTAGCTTTCCATTATATATCGCTATAATACTTATGTTAGGTATAATTAAACACATGGTAATGATCTGTCATTAATTGTTTAAGTAATTAATGGCCAATAAATGTCACAACAAATCACTGAATAGTTTTATATCTCAAGTTGAGATTCTCAACGCTTTAGTGTTAATAATTAAATTTTATTCAACACTTAATTAGCTTTTATTATTTAAATATTTTTATATTTCATTGCAAAATATTCTTTCATTGTATTAATATATTACTCGTAGTATTAATTCATTTAGCTTTTAAAACTTTTATTTGGTTTATATTAACTGTTACTCTAATTTTTAATTAATTGTAAATTTAAGTATATTTTATGTGAACATCGACTGAAAGTGTGATATCCTTATTATGTGTTGCAATAGAAGAGATGGTTTGATCTGATAGTGAAATAATACATCACATTAGCTCATAAGCAAAGACGCCGTCTCTTATTATTTGTATTATCTTTACTTCAATTGCTTTGAATTGAATTGAAAAATGTTTGTTTGTCTGTCACTCAAACGCCTCATCCCTTCCTAAGAGTAAATCAGATGAGAATGAATGGCATTTATTGTTGAAATAATTGTCACAATAGACAGTAAATATAATATTATATAATATATAAATATTATTCAATTCTAATGGAAAATATCACTTAAGCTATACAATAGTTACGGTAAATACTTTACGCATTTTGTGACAATTCACACAACCATTGAAGCAAATAATTTGATGTCATTTTAACTTCTTTTTCATCTTTGATGAGTTAAATACCAGAATATATCGTTTGCTTTCATTTCAGTTTCAATTATATTACACTTACTCGTGATCTTAATTGTGATCTAAATTTACTGATTTATTAATCTCCCAATGATTACGATATACAGTATAACAGTTATGCATAATTTTTGTATTATTGTGTTGATATACAATTAACTTTATACATTTATTTATTAAATAATAGTTAGTTTATAACTACATTAACGTTATTACTATTATTATGAAAATTTAATTTCTATCAAAGATTTCTTGAATGAGTGGTGAATGAGAAAAACCGATTTGTTTGGCGATTGAAGGGATTGTAAAATTAAGTGCATTTAAATCTTTCAAATTATTCATTAGTCGTAAAAATTTACTCTTTGACAGAATATCGGAACGATATTTTATATGTAAATATTGTTGTAATAAATATATGTAAAAATTCTGTTGCATTCTGTAAATGAATGGCATTTAAAACAATGAGTTTCAAAACAATATACGATAATAACTAAATGAGCGCTATTCACATACTTAATAAATTGTTTGTTTATTAGTTTTGGTCGCTCGGGATTGAAGAGAATAATTGCTGTCAACTATAGACATAAAATATAAATATTCATAAATGTTTAATAAAATTACATCATATATTATAATTCAGACCAAATCAATGATCAAGTGATCTGAATCCCAATCGAGTCCCATATTTTGTAAGAAATTTTTATGCAACAAATATGTGTTGAGGGCTTCGGCGGCGGGAATATCTTTGATTAGTTTTAGCCGAATTAGGTTTGAATAGTTATTCTGTTTATAATCAAAAAATTAAGTGATATTTTTATTAATTTAAATAATAATGGCATAAACACACCTGAATTATAGTCCAATATTCATCTTCAAAGTTAAAACTGGAAATCAATCGCAAAAAATTGATTTCAATTGAAGAATATTTAATTAAGACTAATTGATCGCTTAAGCAGATAGTGTTAAATCCGTTTAAACATTTGCACATTTTGACAATATCTCTGATTTCTGTGTCGACTTTTGAATGCATAATAGGCATGGCTTTGAATATACTGTCCACAAGTGTCTGACCCATACTTACCGTCGGTTTTTGTAAATACTTGAGTGCATTAAGTAATTCATTAAATTTATTGACTTCTAATTCATTGAAACTAATACTGCAATTAGAAATAGGCTTCAGTATAGGAATCACCATAAGTTCAGATCTATTCTCTGCTGTTTCACTTGTATTACTATTGTTTCCTTCGATAAACTCTTTACTAATGATTTCGTTATCTAAACTGATATTTTCTGAAACATTTAAAGTGTGTAAGTCTTGCGATGAGTTGTCGTCAAAGACAATCACTTGTTTGCCCGCAAACATTGCTTTCTTTCTTTTATTTCTATTTTCTTCAATTAAGGCATTTCTCATTCGCTTCCTTTCTTCCGAATAAATCAATTTCTAGTTATAATTAATTAAGAGTTAAATTACTTTTTACATAATTTTTAAATTTATAACAAATTTTTGTACACTTTTCATTCCCATTGCAAAGCACTTTATTAATCGACATTTTTTGCAAGACTTTCTGTTTTGATAACTTGTGGGACAATTGCCTCCCAAATAGCATTGAAATTCCTAATGTCATCAAAAATAAGTATTATTTCAATTATTTTGCATTTAAATGATATTCTCGACAGTATTTCACAACATTTTTCAAGGCATGTCTTCTAAAAAACGATTTACACGATTCACAGCTCATGACATTAAAGTGATTGCCTAACAATGAAGTGAAGTAACAGTAAATTTAACAACATTTTAATTTACATTTTGTAAATAAATATAAGTTTTATACCATTAGATTTAGCGCCACATATCATACAAACTTTATTCTGTGTTTTACTCATTCTTTAAAATATTCTGTAGTAATGTTTTAAAGCAAGAATTTTTCAAAGAATTACAATTTAAATCAATAAATCTATTTTGCATTTAGATTATACAGAAATTATTAATTGTTTAATAATAGACAGTTCAGCCATTTTGCAAATGCGACCTTGGTTCATTGATCATTTCTTATCGTAATGTAATAAGATAATTGCAAATAAAGTAATATAATTATTTAACAATAATTCCAATTCAATATAATCATGGTGAAATATTTAGCACAATCATGGTTATATTCCATAAGTACGGTATATGTCAACTAGGTAAATTAGAAATATTTATCGCGTTGATATTTTATTCTAAATTATTATTATTATTCTAACTTGTTAAAATAAGTCTACTATTTAAATTAAAAAATGAATCCAATAAAATGTCAATAATTTTCAAATAAATTATCATTTATTAATAATTTGTAATAGTATTTAAATTACAATTGGAATGAATATATAAATATTAATTAATTTGTTATATTTTATACATATATTTGTCAATAAAAGCAATCAATGAATCGTTGGGTGCGTTTGTGAAGACTTGATCACAAATAATGGACAAAACATTCGACAATTTCAGAGACTAATAGAAGATCTGAAAAATATTTATAAAATATCTCAACAATCGTTATATAATAATAAAAGTGATGCTAAATATATTCTATATTTATATAATTATAAAGTAATCATAAAAATTGATTACAAAATATGTCTTAATTTAAAGCTTAAATTACATCATGACTTTTGTTTGGGTGACTATTGTTTTGTCACTAATTATACAATTGAATGCTTTTATTGTCGCTTTTAATCACTAAATATTACACATTTAAATACATTTTAAATATAATTAACACAAAAATTAACAATTTGTTTGTATTTCTCTTGTATTTTTCGTTACAAAATAAATAAAAGGAACAAAAGGTCTGCGAAATAGAGGGCAGAAGTAATGGGAGAAAAACAAATTCAATTGAGATTCACGGGAACGTTGGGATTGTCGGGTATTAATGATGTGAATAGAGACGAGACCACAACCCATACAAATCTCAAACCCGTGAATCTCTCTTCGGTAACCCTTTCGTCAGTAATCAATGAATTGTTGGTCAACTGATCCCTCGGTCTTTCCATCACTTCGGTGTCGTCGGCGACAACGGCTTCGTTGCGCTCCTCTTCCTCGCGATTCACTGCCATTTCGTTATTATTATTGTTGTTATTGTTATTATTGTTGACCGCATTCTGAGGCATACGATTGTTATTATGATTGTTGTTGTGGTTTCTGTTAAACCAATTCGTTTGGTAGAAGTATAAGAGAACCGAAAGAAACACAACTAATAGGAAACGAGTGAAAGACGAGTAGAAATATATAATGCTGAAGAGGACGACCGCACGCGACATCCAATAGAAACAGTCCAACCAATCCCTATTGCGAGGCTCTTCTTCGTCGTCAATCACCGCCTGACCTCCGGGTCCGGCATTCATGCGCTGCACTTGTGGCACAACAGGAGGTACGGCCGCCGCCACCGGGTCTACAGCGGGAATGGCAGCGCCCGGCGCCGCGTTTAACACCGGCTGGTGTTGCGGTACCATTGGTGGCACAGTCTGTCCCAACATCGGGTTATTTTGATACATATTTGGGTTGATAAACATGTTTTGGTTAAAGTATTGTGTCATATACTGGGCGTACGCCTGTTGTATTTGCGCCATTTGTTGCCACATCTGATCCGGTGGTAACATCACCGACGGGTTCCCGAATTGGCCCATATTTAACATATTTGGCGAGAATTGACCGTTTAATGGATACTGAATGCCGGAACCATTGGCTGTCGTCGTATTGTTCTGAGCGTTGGACTCTTCGTGAGTAGTGTTTGAGGCGTCGGTGTTGTTGTCGTTATCACTATTGTTAGCGTCCATTGTGTTTGTGTTTGTATTTGTATTATTAAGAGGACTGTTATGTATGGGTGATGTTTGGTCTAGTGATGACTGGGCACACACTAAGTGTATGGTAAATGTAGTGACGCTGTCGTCGATTGGTTGTAATACTTGTCGTAAAGTCTGTTCGTTCTTCAGTAAGTGTCCGGAATAGATAAGGCGCTGGTCTTCGATACGCTATCAGTAGATAAACAGTCAATATATGTATTAATACTCTTGTATTTGCTTATTATTTAGTGCTTATTATTTAGTCTCTAATCTATTGGTTTCGTATGAATTGCTGCCAATTATTATACAACACTTTGCGATATATTTATAGTTTTAGTCAATAAATAGTTAAATATGTCTCGTTATGAAAAACAAAAGGCTTTTTAAATATTAATGTAAATTTAATAAATAATTCACTAATATTATGAAATAATGGAAAAATACGTCAATTATAAGCAATTCATTATTTTGTACATCAAAATCAGCTCATGTTTTATAAAATAAGACTATTTTGGAGAAAACTATCAAACATTAAGCACTAAAAGGTATTTAAGGAAACTACAAAATATTTAACAGATGTATAGATGTTTGTTATGTAATATTTCTTATAATAATTCATTTGATAAATAGTGATAAATAATAATTGAGTTAAATATGAATGCATCGTATGATACAAGTCCTAAGTCGACGTCAGTCTAAGTGAATGCAACAAAAGCTATTGATTAAATGTATTAAACATATTTCAGACCTAAATTTATCATATGTTTATACGATTGGCTAATAATATATTGTAAAACTAACAATATTACTATAATTGTTGACTGAATTGTAATATATATATAAACAATATTTATAACAGAAGTTACAACCGTTTCTAATCAATTGAATTAAAACAATATACCGTATGATTATAACGAGTCGATTGTGAAATATTACTTTTGTAATTTTTGACAAATTATATGTACAATAAATGACTTAAATTTAAGTATAAATACAATTGAAAAGTAGAGCAATAAAAATGCCATTAATTACTGAACTATGGCTTAAATAACATTTTATATGAAATCAATTGAAATTGCAATAAAATTATTGAATATAATGAACAAAATATATGAAAACATATTTGGATTGAATGCTTAAGACAATCGGTGGTAAGACTTACGGGGTTTGAGGGATAGACTGTCGACAAGTGTGTCTTCAATGAGAGGACAGTCCACTCG